ATTGCTCAAGTTGGATGAACAATTGGGGCAAACAAGTTATTTATAATTCGTATAAGCCTGCATGTCAATCTCCAACCATAAACAAAGGACAAATCAGAAGATAAGAGTTAACAACCAAGATCCTAAGAGTTACAATAGCATATTCATTCCTGGCCCAGAGATCATCCAATAATGAGCTGTCATATTTATAAATTCCATTTGTGTAGGAGCAAACAAGACTAAGCAACAAGCATTCAAAGATCCAATTATCAAGACAGCGTTAAAATGTTTAAACATGTAAAAAGGTTGCAAATGATGGTCCCTAATGAATGAAAAAAATATTATATGCACCTTTATCACCAATTCATCCATGATCCCAACCACTAATAACCACTCACCTCGCCACAAACAACGGACAAATCAGAAGATGCGAGTTAACAACCAAGATCCTAACAATTACAGTAGCATATTCATTCGTGACACAGGTCATCCAACTAAAGAGAATGGATGTACTGTCACATTTATAAATTCCGCTTGTGTAGGGGCAAACAAGAATAAGCAAAAAGCATTCAAAGATCCAATTATCAAGACAGCTTCAAATTGTTTAAACATGCAGGAAGGGTTGCAAATACAGTCCCTAACGAACACAAAACTATTATATGAACATTTATCATCACATCATCATAGTTCCAGCCACAAAAATCACCCACTTCACACTTTCTCACTCCAGGTTATTTTTCAAAGATAAATCTTCGATGGATTCTTGAAAGTTAATTATGAGTGGATTAACGACGTGATAGAAAAAAGTGAGATTATTGGTTTTTAGTGGTTGAGGCTATGAATGACGAATTCATGAAATAATTTATCCTAACGAACAATCATAAGTAAAGGCAATCAATTAAGATGAGGTACAAAATATAAAATAAGCACCCACCTTCACCACAGGGAGACTTCCTTGTGATGTGAAGAACCTTAGTGGGCATTCTCACTGGACCCTTAACCCTCAGTCTCTTATCCTTGGCACCGCGAACCAAATCGGCACAAACTATCCATCAAAAAGGGAACCAGTTGGACTCAGTGATTATAAATAATCAACATCATACATGAAACCACACCTTGGAGTAATAAAAGAAAGCATAATCTTTGGAGCATAGAGTGAAAAAAAATATACCTTTCTCGAGGTTTTTGACATTCTTGGAGGAGAGAGTGATCCGGATCTTGTGAATCTGCTCATGGAGATCTTCCAAACCATGTTTGGTCGGCTTCATTGCAGCAAACGCCATTGTTCTTAACTCGAGCTGGGACAATCAATTGTAATACAAATTAATCGGAATCGAATATGCTAAGAAGAAAAGTTTCGCATATTCCGTATAAAGAATTATCCAAAACAAAAGGTAAATAAAGAATTATTATTTATTATTTTCTAACATAACACGTGATAGTTTCACGTGTATGATGATGTGTTAGGAGTGTTTTAGTTATTTTTCTATTAAATTCGAAAGCATAATTGATTTATATAAAGAAATTGAGATGTTATTTAATATTTAAAATTTTTTAAAAATCACAAAAATAAAGAACACTATTAAGTTTGAAAACCAATAAAAATCTAAAAAAAATATCAGATTCTATAAAATGATAACTAAAAAATTATTAAAAAGACAAAAATAAAATATTAAAAAACTTAAGCACTTTCATGAAAAATTATTCGACTTTCCATTGTTAATCCGAATCTAGTATTATTCCTTTAATATTAATTTCATCATTTGGTGTAAAATATTTTAAAAAATCATGTGGAAATTGTGAAAAATAAAATAACAGATCACTGATTAAAAGAAGTAGACTTTAATTAAAATTTTAGATTTGAAATGAGAGCAAGGGGTTAATTGAAAGAGATGATAAGAAAATCATAAAAAAATATTTAAAATTTCATTGACATTCAAAATCTTGAAAATTATTATAAAAATATATAATTTTTTTATTTAAAAAATTATCCAACTATATCTGGGCATGTGTTTAGTGCTCTGGGAAAAGGTTAACGCAATCATATGTCATGTTTATTTATTCACTTTCAAAATATAACTTTCAAAATTTATCCAATCACTCTCTTTTTTTTTTCTTTTTTTTTTTGTCAAGAGAGATCAATTTACTAAATTTTAAATTTGATAAGAGTTTAAAAGGTGTTTAAACTAAAATATTTAAGTCAACTACTTTTTTTTTAATAGAAGCCTATAGTTTTATTAAAAAAATATTTATAATTACAATAAATGTTTACAACCATAATCGTAAATTAAACAGATAATTAGTATATTTTTCTATAATCATTAACACAAGAAACTAGTCACTTGAGATCATACAATGATCATATAAGAAAAATGTTAAAAACCTAACCAAAATACTCGAACAAAGATGCCTACAAATTAAACTGACAGTATCGAGAAATGAAACACAAAAGTGGATGTAAACTACTGAAAGACCCCCGAAATAGCCTATCAAAGTCAAGCGATGTAAGAAAACTATTTACGATCGCAATCACATATCCCAATTCAATTTGAGGATCCGAAGCAGGAAATATCATCAGGATAACAAATAAGCGCTATATTAATCAATCGAGGCATCGTCAAATTCATCCATGGGAAAAAGTTAAAAAATGAGAGGGGAAAGGGACCGAAAACGTGCCAAAAAACAGACGAAAACATGTCACAAAGACAGAGAAAAACATAACATAAATGCAAAATATTTAAAAAGTAAAAATCAAAGGGAAGCAAATATGTAATAAAGAAAATAAATGAAAAATAAGAAGCATCGAAGGTCAATAATTAACATTAATAGTGTCGTCGTTGATTAAACAAAACAGAAAAAAGGAGTGAACAACACAGATGAAAAATTTGGGGGGAAAACTAAAAATACTTTTTTTAATAGAAACCCGTTTGTTTTATTAAAAATAGAAAATATCTAGAATTACAATGAAAATTTACGAGCATAATCGTAAACGTAAACTAAATTATAATTATGACGTTTTCCTATAACCATTAACAAAATAAACTAGCCACCTAGATCATACAAATACCATAAAAGGAAAATGTTAAAAACCCTAACCAATGCTCGAATAAAATAGAGATACGAACAAATCTGACTGTATCGGCAAACAAACCACCAAAGGGGATGAAACTATTGAAAGACTACCGACAAATTGCAAATCAGAGTCAATCGACGTAAGAAAACTATCCACGAGTGCAAAACGCGTGTCCAAATCAATCCGAGGGTCCATAGCAGGAAATCTCAACAGGATAACAAATAAGCGCCATCTTGATAAGTCACGACGATGTCAAATCAAACCCTGTGAAAAAATATAAACGAAAAAGGGCAAAAAACCGTAAGCTATCAAAAGACAGAGAAAAACGTGTAACAAAGGCAGAGATAAATGTATCATAAAGGTAGAGAACATGTCACAAAGACACAATTATTCTTATTAAAAAACTTAAAAAACAAAGGAAAAATATAACCGACGGGCGTCAACTAATATCAAAACCAGTGTCGCTGCCGGTTAAACAAAATTAAAGAAGAAAAAGTTGAATTAATCAATAAAATTTACACAAGTTATAAAGGAGAAGAAGAAAAAAAGGGGAGAGAGAGTGGAGGAGCTGGAAGAAAAATCACTATTTTTTTTAATATCCACTTTAAAATGTATACTAAAATAAAGCATAGTATAATAAAACCCCTCGTTCACTCATTAATTAGAATGATTAAATGGTTTTGCTAGAATTTTGACATAGTAAAGGTGGGAATTAGTTGGGTTGTAGAATCAAAGCATGAGAGGGATTGTTGTTTCATTGGGAAGGCCAAACGAGTGATATTGGCAATTTGATGCTTCTAGTCCAAAGAGAGAAACAAGTGGTTCAACATTGTTTCAACTTTTATTTACCTAATACCAACCACATTCAAATTCAAAGGTTTAAACACCCTTTTAAGTACAACAAACACACCCCACAAATTTGACTATTTGTTACTGCAAACACTATTTCTAAAGCTTTGTCTTATTCAAAGTTTGAAATCTTCATGCATTTAATTGAATTCTCCAACTTGATTTAAGTTTTGGAAGTTTTGTAGTGTATGAAGTCTTCATACACCTGATAGAACCACCAAATTGAGAAATTAAATTAATTAAATTATATGATCAATTTTGACAGTTAAATCTTAATAATTTTTTCATGAAATGTTATTGTTACGTGACATTTGCATTTTTTCTAAAGAAAATTTCTAAAAAAATGTTACTAGAATTATAAATAAATTCTAAATGATATTTAAAAAATTAGTAAATTTCTGAAAATGTCACAACAAAATGTTAATTTAAGTTTTTTTAATTAAATTATGTTGTCATCTCTATTCACATCATAATCATAAGAATAATTAAATGAATATCATATTCACAGATCCCAGTATCAAGTCAACCATCTTATAATGAGACATTTTCCAATCAATTATGATTAAAATATTCACAAAGTTCCTAATAATATACAACTAATAACTAATTAAATTAAATTAAATGTCTAAATTTCTTACAGGCAGAATTGCTAAAATTTCGGTTGTACTACTGAGCCGTGCCGTCACAGCTACTCATGCTCCATTGCCAGCACATAAGCAAAATGTTGGGTTCTTTTGGTGGATATATTCTTATTCTATAATTTTTAACCTTATAATTTTAATCTTAATTCGAACAGTAATTATTACATTTATTAACTTGAATTATGTTATTAGTTCATGTATTATGTATAAATTGTAGATTGGGTTGATGTTCTTTATTTTAATCATTTTAAGTCCATATATTATTAGGTCAGTATTAAAAATTTTAAAATTTGAGAATTATCGGGACTAAATTAATCGAATATGAAAATTTCACAGTAGATATATCTCCAAGTTAAAATAAAATAAATAAAGAAAAGGAGATATCCAAGATCAATACTATATCTCAATTCTATGGTTTATGCTGATAGAACTAGTATGGAATTCACACGAATCAACAACTTCATATGACATATTACGTCTTCTGCAGGAGAGGAGGAAAAGGAAGAAGAAACCCTCAATGATGTAACGGGTTCGGACCAGCAGGAACAAGCCGCTTTCTGACACCGTAGCGTAGGTCGATCTCGTTGCCGGAAGGTTCAGGAAGGTGCCCGTGTGTCCGACGACGTTGCCGGAAATGTAGAAATGGAGTGAAGTCGGAATTGGTAGCCAAGACTTTCCTGTTGCTCCTGAAAGTGTGGTGATGAGAAAAGGATACCGGGTGGCCAATGCCAAATGAATTGCACCACCCAAAGAACAAAAGCAGCAAAGAGAGCGAAATGATGAGACTAGAAAGATGAAGGGTATTGTTCTTCGTCATGTATACTGGCTCGGGAGAGAAGAACTTGCATGGAAAGAAAGAGTTGGTGTAGTGTTAGTGAGATACAGAGAAGAGTGTTATGGAGATCAATGACAGCCTAAAACTGTGAGAAGTGGTAGCGGGGGTGCTTAGGGACGACGGGTTGCTTACTTCCATGGAAGTTAATTAGAGGAAGAAGGATCAAAAGAGTAGAAAATTGGGAAGGTACAGGTCCGGAAGATGATGCGGAGAGGAAGGTGTAAGGCAAACCTGTGGACCATTCTTCATTTGTTTTTACCAATGGAACTTCCTTTGCGTTCAAGGAACACAAGGAAACAATTAAATGCTCAGATTGTCAAACCCTTTGAACTATTATTAGGGTGACCAATCATATCAGCAAACGGACGTGAGGGTGAGTTCACTCTTACACAATTAATAATACACCCATTCTTTAATACTCCATTAAATTAAACTAACTTCTTTTTTTAATAAAATATCCAATATGGTATACACACAAAAGTGAAACCTTAGTTTTTGCTCTCTTTTTCTGTGTCACCCGCAAGCTTTTCTTTTTCTTTTAATTTTGTTGACGGAAACATTAGTCTTGATGTTGACTTTTCAGTTTTAGTACATTTTTCATATGATCATCTGTGATCTGTCTTGCTATATTTTAACTTTTTTTTTAAGTTTCAGTAGTAGATCCAAAAATATTTTCGAGGAAAGTACACGTGAGTTAAGAATAATTTTTTTGAATAGAGTATGTACAACTAAAATTTCAGGGTAGACACCTTTAATGAAATAAGTAACTAAATGAAGAAAATTCAGATTTCAAGGTGAGTCCCACTCTGGGTAAGCTATAGATTCGCCAATGCACGTTTCCTCTATATCTTATGGTACGTTGTTCACCTATCTTTGTGGTAGATATGCGATAATGTAGAGATTTTCACGTCACTCGTATCTGATTAGCGATTATCAGTAATATTTCGGTTGTTAGACTTCCCTTTGTGGTTATTTCCTAATGTATCTAAATCTATTTTGTGAAACAACATGTAAATTTACTTTGGTTTCTTTCGCGACTCTTTCATCACCTCTAAAGTGTCTAGTTGGATAAAGACAAAGGAGTACTATTGAGATTATTGAGTACCTATGGATAATGGATGTTAGATTCAAAAGAAGGTTTCAACTGTTATTGTGTCTTTGATTTTTTTATTATTTATGTTTGTGTAATTTGATGAATTTAGTCCCTAAAGTTCTATTTTTTAATAGATTGTATTTTTTGTGTCAATAAAATTCAATACCGTTTCAACGTTAAAAAAATGAAACTAACTTCTAAAAATTCTATAAAGATAAAATCAAACAATTTAAAAAATAAAAGATATGAACAAACACCATTGTCGATAGCAAAAGATAAATACTATCAACATTAACATAAAAATGGACACAATAATGATGACACATCAACAACTAGCTTTATTAAAACTCAAATATTTTATAGGTAATTACAAGTGCAGACATAACTATCTCAAGGTTCAAATGATGGGTAAATCAATAGGCTTAATATAAATGCCTAAATTATGTTTTGAAAAATGTTTTAGTGCCTAAACATTTTTTTGCTAAAAATAGGTGTCTAATGTTTTCTCGGTTATACATTTAGGTGTCTACCGTTTAATTTTTTAATTTTTTAAATAATAAAAATATTATTTTTAATTAAAAATAAAAAAAAGTTTAATTGATTTACAAACACAATTTTGACTAAAAATATAAAAAACCCTAAAAACTAAAATCTCTCGTTTCAACCCCATTCTCAACCGTAGTTGGTCATCTTTGGCCACCATCTTCATCATCGAACGATCATGCACCCGTCGCCCCCTCCCATTGATCAATCGTTGTCCTTATCGTCAAAAAAATCCTTAAATTTAAAATCTCCAATATCAAAATCCTTAATTCCCAATTTTAATTTCTTAAACCAAACAGTCACCGACCATCTCTAGCCATCGTCGTCGTTGTTGAACGATTGAGTTTTGATCAGAATTGCACGATGGTTCGAATGATGGGGGCAATGTAGCTTATGAACGTCGAAATTAGCCGGAATCGACGAAGAACGACGAGAGTGGCTTAAAACTGACGAACCTTTGAACGCCTCTCTACGACAAATGATGGCATATTACAACAAAATGTCAACTGATTGGGGGTCAACGTTGGTGCCGATGATAGCGACAGTGATGATCATCGTCGCCGATTGACTGACATAAAGGGGAAGAGAAAGGGAGAAAGGGAGAGAGGGCGAGGGTTTTTTTTTCAAAAAATATTTTTTTAAATAAATTCTCAAAATTACCTGAACGTGACATGTGCCACTTAACGAGGATATTTAACGACGATTAATGTTCGAAACATAAAAGTATATGTTGGAAACATTAGGCACCTATTTTTAGCGAAAAATCTTTAGACATAAAACGTTTTTCGAGGGATAGTTTGGATACTTATTTTTGTATTAAGCCAAATCAATAAGATAAACCAATAAACACATCAATTAAAGAGACAACATGAAATATAATCCTAATTTAAAAAAAAGTACTACTAAAAAGGTAGATAAAAAACATCTCTTATTTTCAAGGAGTGGATAACTTATTAAACAAATAATATATAAATTCGAATATACAAAATAAAAAATAAAAGAGATGAAAAATAAATGAATAAAAGTTGGAGGAGAATAAAACATAACATAGATAATAATAAAGTAGGGGTAACGATCGTTTAACAAAAGACATTCATGTCACATTCCTCACAATCAATTAGGGGAAAAACTTAAAAATAAGGAAGAGAAAAAAAAACCTAGACTCTAAAATGAACTACGTACACATTTAATATTTTAACTAGTAACAGAGCTTTTTTTAGGAAAAGGATTCATTAGATTTCGATTGCATCAATAATTACATCAGTTTTAATACAATCAGGCTTGTCATAGTAAAACCAGAACGAATTGGGATTCAACAAAGCCCATTGGGTGAGACTATGAGCCACTTTGTTCGCCTATCGATTAACAAACATAATTTTAATCTCGTTATTCGAGGCGATCAATGATAACCCCATAAAAAGACTATGGTTAGTGCCTTTTTACTTTGGTTATTGGTTGTTTAAAAGCACATTTAAGTGCATTTAGTTGCATTTATTATACTTGTGGTGTAGTTTTCTTGTTGGTCTTTAATTATCTTATAAGTGATGTTTTGATGGGAGAAAGACAGTGTTTTGGTGGTGATTTGTACAGGTGAAAAAAATGGAGGAGAATTGGAAAAGCCGCAATATTCTGGATAGCATTCATGGGTGGAAAATTGTTGTGGCATTCTGGAAAACATTTATGGGCGCAGAAAATGACTAAAATTCGAAGAAATTTTATTATTTTTCCTAGCTGTCACACATGAATGCCCTCTACCAACTGTCCAACCCACACATGTGAAGGGAATATTCCCTTAAGGTACAAAAAGAATTAGGGCACTTAACCCTAGAAACCCCCAATATATAAAGAAAAAGACACGAGATTTATGAAAGGAGAAAAAGAAGGGTTTTATGAGATAAGAGAGAAAATGAGAGAAGCAACCACTCTAGTTTTTTTTTCTCTTCTTAATCATTGTGACCTCAATTATTGGATCTCCAAGGGGATAAAGCTTGATGGCCTTTGAAAGAAGCAACAGTGCTTGGGTGGTTCACGGTAGTCCACAACGACTCTTGCCTTGGGAGTTTTCTTCATTCTTTAGTTGTTCTTTATTTTCTTCATCTTTTGTTGGATAAGGGATTGTATTAAATTGATGATTATGGATGTTAATTACCTATCCATGAACTAACTTAAGTTGTCCAGGGTTTATCTTGGATGAATTTGTTTTGTGTTTTAATTAATGCTACAGTATTTCCAGTTTATATACAACTTTGCTCACTGTTTTATTGCTTAGATTTGTAAGAGCTTTTGAGAGATAGCCTTTATCTATGTTTGATTCTTGATATCGAGAGAGTTAAGCTTAGATTTACGTGAATAATGGGGTTGAGCTGGGAGGCAAAACCATAACTTGCCTTAGAGATAAAGAAATAATTTCAATGACTAAAAAGAGTAGGGCTTAATCGGTAGTATCTTGCTAGGGTTCATGCTGAGAGACATTTTTGTAGCATTTTTAGTGTCAGTTTTCTTACTAGAGATAACCTAGAAGCAACTTAGAAAACTCTGTCGAGCATCGTCTTAATTGGAAAATGTTAAGTATTCATTGAGGATAAAACATAGGATTCCAAGATAGACCCAACCGTTTATCCATCTTGAGAGTTCCACACGTACAAGGTCATATTATTGTCTTATCTTGTACACCCAATCCTCAACTCAATTTTTCCATAGCGTTCTTTATTTTACTTTTTGTCACAATATTTCATACTCCATACTTGACACTTTGCCACAACATTCACATCACCTTGTTCATATCATTATATATACATATTTATTTATACTTTAAGTGCATTAACCTAACTTGAAATCCCTATAATCCTTGTGGAGACGATATTCACTCATCACTTTATTACTTGTTCGATGCGTATACTTGCGCAGTTTACATGCCATAACATAGCACATTTATACACGCAATAAGTTTTTGGCGCCGTTGTCGAGGACTAACATGTGATGATTTTAAGTTTATTTTTTGCATTATGTTATTTCTTCTTTTTGTATAAATTTACTTGTTATTTTTGTTTATTTTTTTCAGGCGTTGTTCTATTGTATGACCCATAGAGGATCTGCAAAACCATTGTTTCCTTTGGTACATGAAATAGACCAATTTTTTCATCAAAGAATACATGTTCAAAATGCTAAAAGAACCATGTATAGAGTTCAAAATCCAGTTGAGCACCTTATAGATTGGAATAATATAATAATCCATAAAGATGGAGTTGTGGCTCATCTACGTACTATTAGAGACCACTTAACTCCCAATTTGGACTATCTCAACCATGAAATTATAGTTCCAAAGATTCAATCAGCCAACTTTGAGCTAAAATAGTGATGTTCACCATGTTGGACTTGATTGGAAAGTTTAGTGGTACACCCCATAAAGATGCAAGTTAGCATATTCGTGTATTCTTAAAAGTTTGTGATTCATTTCAACATCAAGGTATACATGAAGATGTGCTGAAATTGAAGTTATTTTCCTATTTTATGAGAGATCGAGCTAAGGCATGGCTTAGTGGAATTACATCCGGTTCGATAAAATCATAGATGCAAAAAGTTTTTACTGCGGCATAATCCACCCAACATGAACACCCAACTTA